GTGGGGGGGGGGGGTGAGTTTACTGAACTGTAATAATTTGAATTGTTCTAAAATTCCAAATCTAGGTTTTTAGATATCTGGTTCATCTTTCTATGATTATATATTAGGAAAGCCAAATTCCTATAGTTAAACAATTTTTTTGGTGTGCACGTGTTCCTAAAAATCTAGTGGTTTAAAAGATTCTTTTAGAATCTTGAAAACCACACGGTTAGCATCCATACTGACTAGGAAACGCCAAGAAAGGCTCACTTTTCTCATTTACTCATTTTAACTATTAAAGTAGGCAGACAACCAATTAAGCAGAAATACTATTATAGCATAAAAAGTTGAGGATCCATGATATGTGTTTTTGGGTTGTTATTGATAGCCACCTGTTGTGCATAGGTGGGTTGGACGAAGTATTATAGTGTAACTGTGATATGGGGAACATGGAAATAGATGATGCGGTTTTCCCCAAATGTTACGTCACATCGCTGATCAGTATTTTGTGAATTCATATAGGACATTGATTTTAATGCGGGACTCTGTCAATTAAAGATGTATTTGCACTTTCTAAGTCCACCGTGTAGTTATATACATTAGTAATTTCACATTGACACTTGTTATCTCTTATATTAAACTAATTTTCAGTGCTTCCTGGATTTTAAAAAAGCAGAAATTTTTGTATCATAAATGTTTGCATGAAGTTCTTCACTGACATAATGGAAAGTACTATTGTGTTCCATGCTTTCTACCTATCAAAATGAATCATGGTGTCCATCCTGGAAAATAACAGAATCACACCCTTAAAACCATTTTAACACCTTCAGTTTACTGAGACAGATTATGTAATCCTTGGAGCTTTGTTGCAGCTGCAGAGCTGTTGGGCGATTTAAAATTTTCACGGTTTTCTTTCGGTTTTGCATGATCTCACTCTTTGCGTTACTCTTGCAAATTGATAAAACTCTCCATTCTGTCTGGTTTGCAAGATCATGATTCTATCTTTACTTTTCTTCTTTGGTCTCTTCTGGCATAGCTGATTCACTTTCAGCAGTCTGCCTAGAGACACTCTAGCCAGGCAGACTTTGTGCAGCAAAATATGGGTAGTAGTTTTAATACACAGATTTTGAGTGATAAGCTGGTGAAGCTCAACAGTTCGCAGCAGAGCATTGAGAGTATCCTCCTGATGATTATACTTTCTTCGTCACATTCTTATTAGCTGATTGCACTGATATTTGCATAATGTTCTTTTTCCACAATTGAATTTTCCTAGTTGAAAACTTGTTGGAACTACCAGTTTCTGATGTTTGACATTGCCCACTTTTTGGAAATTGTTTTAGTCCCGTATTGGTTTTTAACCTTTTCATGTACTATATCTTGGAAATCCGATGGATATGATCTTGTACATTCATGTTTTAAGTTCTTCAGTTCATCCTATGTATGCATCATAACTCATTCACATTTACTTCTCATTTTTTTTATTCTTTATTTGATCTTGCCCCGGTAAATGAAATTGATGTTATCCTTAATGCAATGAAGCTCTCTCGCATTGGTGCATTTTTCACATGAATAATGCTAAACAAGTTGTTGAAACATGGGACAGGCAGTTTCATTGCTCTCCTCATGAGCAGCGACTGGCCTTTTTGTATCTTGCAAATGACATTATTCAGAATAGCAGGCGAAAAGGTGCAGAGTTTGTTACTGAGTTTTGGAAGGTTCTTCCAGATGCTCTTCGTGATGTAATTGAACATGGGGATGAGTTTGGAAAGAATGCGGCATTCCGCCTGGTGCATCTTTCTATCCTTTGAAATTTCTGTGGTTAATATTTTTTATTTCCTCTTTGCACCTCAACTAATAAAGAAATTATTGATAGACGCTTTTATGGCCCTTCAACTAAGGTCTTCTGATATTCTTTATAAGTTTATCAAGGTTTTTTCCATGTACAGTAAGCTACAATAAATCATGCAAAAGAGAAACAATAATGTGTTGGTTCGAAACTTTTAGTTTGAATTCGTGATCTTGACCTGGATTCCCAGGGATGCCACATGATCCACTTTACTTTTGCATCGCATTTTCTGCCTTTTCCTCTAGAATTTGCAAACTTATGAGAAATTAGGTTTTAGACTTATATTGCAAGGAATTCTGCAGTGCATTGGAGAATAAGTCTAAATATCAAGTTGCCCTCAAGAAACGGAAGAAAAAACAGAGAGATACGGTAGTAGTAACTGGGGTTTTTGAAACTGGGTTTTCTCTTGAGAAAGAAAGAGATGGCGGAACTTTCCGAAGCCTGGGCGTTAGAGTCAATTGAGGAAAGCTATTCCAAAAACTCAACCTATCTAAAATATTGCAGTATTCCTAATGGGAAGTATCTGGATCCCATTTGTCATTAATTGCACCTTCTCACAAGCACCCTTCTTCACCTTCTTATCCTTCCAATTCTGGATTTTGAAACTCCAGTTGTTGTGCAGAGGGATACTTGTTTTTCAGGCTCACTAATTAATTGGGATTTACTGCTGTTCTGGGTTTTCCTGAGGGGTTGGGTTGAATTTATTGATTAGTGGATACGGGTTTTTTTAAAGAAAAAAATTGAAAGGATGCCTTTTTTCATTTTATTTGACATCATAGGGGTAGAAAAGTACACTACTATCTAGTGCACATTTCACAGTTTTGTGCTTCTTAGATAAATTCCTCTTTTGTTTTTGAGCCGTTTTGAAATAATTGAGCACTTAATATAAATATTGTTTTGAAATCTTTTACTGAAGCACCTCAACTAGATCAATAACGAAAACGAAGAAAATACGAACACTGTGTAATCCCCACTCCAATATCTTGCCTTCCTTTCTTCTCATCCATGGAAACCCACTAAGAAGGATTCATATAGCTCCAGTGTTCTCACCATCGTCAAATGCCCAGCACCCCTAAATAAAATATATAAATAGGCCAGAATATGTTACCCACCCTTCTTACCAAAACCTAAATTGACCTACAATTGCATAACTTTTCGGTGCCGGTGCCGGTGCCAGTGCCAATGCTCTTTTTCTATTCCTTTCCTTTTAAACAGACCGTTCTGTGGTTCGGTGAGGTGGTTAGGGAAGAGGCGGTAGGATTTTGCCGGAATGGCTAGGTGATGTTTTAATGGTTATGATCTTCCCTTTTCCATTTGTCTCTTTGAGTGGAAGGTAATATTGAACAAACAATTCAAAGTCATGGATAAACGTGAAATAACACCTAGTTACCCTTCAAAACAGTTGAGTCAAACAAAGACATTGAATGTAGTAGTTATTTAGCGTCTATTTGTCTATTTGATCCCCATTTTGCAAAAAAAATCTCATTCTCATTGTCGAAAAATGTACCCAAATACACCATTTCACCTGTTTTTTGTTAGGACAGATCATGTATGCATTGACCTTTTCAAATTGTATTGTGTGAGTTCATTTCACTATTCCCATTTTACCCTTTGCAGAAAATATTTTTAACGGATGTCAAGAAGAATGATATGAGGGGTAGTTTTGTCAATTTCTTCAATAATGAGAGGACAAAATTGGCCATGCGCATTTTAGTGGATGTATGAGTCAATCAACCCTCACGGACATGCAAGAATTTTGGGAATTTTAAATTAATCTTACTGTAGCAAAGATTTTAATATAGACCAAACAGATGCTTGCTATTTTTCATCTTTGGCCAACACATTGTATGTATCAAAGGCACGTTGCTCAAATTTTCTGTTGTGGAGAAAGTACCCATGTTGACGCCACATGACAAGAATGAGGGTACATGAACTGTGTCAGATCCTCTAAATCAAGGATCCTTTATGTTGTTTTGTTATTTTGGGATTGGATTTTAAAATGATATCTAATTTATATCTCACATTTTTAAATTTGAAATGAAAACCAAATAAACTATTATAATTCGCAATTTCATTTGTTTTAAGTTTAGAGTAATACATATAGCATACATCTCTCTCATAAAAAATTGAAGTTTGTTAAACATATCCACATACCCATGTGGATATTTTTTATCCGTATCCGTGTTTCCTAGATTTTAGACAAAAAAATGTACCTGTATCGGACACCCGAACGCGAGTCCAAGCAGCTACATTTAAGCTTCTTGTTAAAACAAGTTTACAATCATCCGAGATAGAATAAGAGATATCTTGTCTGGTTCAAATTTGTGTAACTGCAATGAACTTTGCTGATTAATGTATTTTCATCTGCTTTCCAATTACATACAGATTGGTATTTGGGAGGAGAGGAAAGTATTTGGCTCCAGAGGGCAACTTCTTAAGGAAGAGTTCACGAAAAACCAACTCGACAATGATAATAAAAATGGGAAGCATGTTGGGTTCAAACTGGTAACCATATCCGGTGTTGCTGAATGCTTTTCATATGCATTTTGGTTTTATGATTGTAGTCCAATGATTACTGCTTCCGTTCCTTCTCTGCAACCAGAAACCTACTGCTGGAAACACATTGGACAAGATAGTTTCAGGTTATCAAGTTGTCTATGGTGGTCAACTGAATGAAGATGCTGTTTTGAACAACTGTAGCAACGCCATCAGCTTTATTGAGAAAATAGAAAAGGATATTGGAAGTGAAAACAGATCAGGTATATTTTTCTCTTCCATTGTGCGTCTGTGTGATCCTAATTATTTATGTCCTCACCTAATTTGTCATATATCTTATAGAGTCACGTGGCATTTATGATTGTGACATGTTGCTTTTGTTTTTCTTTCTAAAATTTATGATTTGTTAGCGCACTGCAGTTGTTTAGATGCATATAACGTCCTGTGCTTATATTGTGGAACCTTCTGTTCTTATTAGTTATTGCTGGGTGCTTTCAGGAATTGCTTGTATTTCTGAATAACTGCTCAATTTCATGTCCAAAATTTTTTTTGGCATATGTTGATTTGTTTAATCATTTATTTATTTTTACATTGAACATTTCCTTCTCGTGATTCCGGCCAACTATACTTGCATCTCTGACTAATGATACTTGTATCTCTTCTCTGTCTTCTGGGTCCTTTTTTCTTTCAATTGAAATAAGTAGGCCATCCAAATCAATCTGGCATCATGGATGAGCTGAAGGGGAAGCATGCAATATTGAGGGACTGTATTCAGCAGCTAACAGTTGTTGAATCTTCAAGGACAAAGCTCGTGTCTCTTTTGCGAGAAGCTCTGCAGGAGCAGGTAGAATGCCTTATGATCAGCAAATGCAACAGCTTCCAACTGTTATGACCTTGTTTGAACCCCATTTTCGGGAAAAAATGTGTTTTGGAATAGTGATTTTTTGGAGAATGTGGTTAAAAAAATTAGAATTTTATTTTATTTTATTTTTTTTGTAAAATTATTTTATTGGAGAATATGTGGTTAAAAATAAGTTTAGAAACAATTAGTTTTTTGAAAAAAATGGGGCTCAAACGAGGGCTATGTTTATACTGCAGTTGTTTTCACTTAAATTTTTTCCTATCTAATAAACTTATGTAATTTTTTTCTTAGGAATATAAGTTGGATCAAGTCCGCAATCAACTTCAGGTAATTCATTTACTCATTGCTCACTTCCTTTCAACTTGATAATTAACTGGAAGCCTCTTTTAAGTTATGATCCGTCATATTGTATAGTTGCTTGGATTGAATTATTTGTACACGTTCTACTTCCATTCAACTCTTATAAGAGAAAACTAAACACTAATCAAAATCTCACAAAGATATAAGTGAAAAGGAGTTTTTCTATGTTGTAGTGGAAAGCCTTGCTCAGTTGATAAGTTACCGAGATTTCCTCAAAATGATTTGATACTGGCTCATGATTTACCCATTATCTTGGGCTACTGAAGGGGATCAACAAAGCCTGAACTGTATGTTGCCCCATGCAATTGTTTGTTTCACCTGTTCTCAGGAATATTTATTTTATTAGATGATTAGATTTCCCTTGCCCACTCCTGATGAGGACCCTGTTGAGGTGTTTTGTAAGTTCACTCCATTTTCACACGACAATCCCTCATTCATATTTTACTAATTTATACAAATGAGAAATTTTAATATTTCGTGAATGAATGACAAGTGGATCTGTATCATTATTGATATTGGTTTCGTCTGCTTGCCATTTGTTATCTAGAATATTTTAACCACGTGTATGCATTCTCTTTAGGCTGCACAGGCTCACACAGAACAGGCAGGCAATATTTTCCAGCAGGAAGTTGATGGCAAAGGTGATGAACCAAGTCTAGCTAAGCAGAGTCGAAAGGAAACTCAAACCAGTCAAATGTCTCACGACTTTATGTCGGGAACTAGAGAACAATCAGCTCCTATAATGTACACACGGCAGGTGCCTTTTACTGAGAAATCTGGCCACACTGAAGATCCTAAATCTGCAGCAGCTGCAGTGGCAGCAAAGCTTACTGCATCAACATCTTCGGCTGAGATGCTGACATATGTCCTCTCTTCCTTGGCATCGGAGGGTGTCATAAGCAATCAAATAAAAGAATTGCCTGGTGATTATTCCTCGGAAAAGAGGGCTAAGATTGAAAATGACCATGCAGCTTATGTTCCTCAGAATCCCCAGGCACCTGTTCCGCCTTATTCTCACCATGCCTCGATACAGCACACTTTGCCAGCCCCATCTCAGGAGTCAAACCTTGACAATTCCCCTCCTCCTCCACCATCGTCCCCACCTCCATTACCACCTCTACCACCTATGCAGCCATATCCTATTCCCCAATATATGCCATCTGCTGGCCCGGTTCCTAATGTACCATATGGCTATAACAGCAGCCAGCACCCGGCACCCCTACCTGGTTATCCTACAGCTGGGCCCTTCGGAGTTCATCCACCGAATGCTTACCAGATTTATCCAACTGAAGGTGGTTTGTATGGGCAGCAATCATCCTTGCCCACACCTGTCTCCCGCCAGTAGAATTTGTGGTTAATTTGTTGCCCGACAGGTGAATTGCATTTTAACGATGGCAGTTAGACTTATCGCTCTTTATTTTCCTTTTTTGTTCGGAGTTCTCTAAGAATAGTTTCACACACACACATAATTAGGTGGTGTGTATTGTAGATGTTTGTAACTTGTGATTTTTTATCTCAACATATTTGTTTACATGAAGTTGGGATAAGTCTCTGTGAGTTTCTTATGGAAGATAATGAGTTAAAATGATCATAAGATATGGTTTTTGCTGATGATGATCAATTATGGTTTACAAGTTTGTGTATTTTCTTTATAGAATGAAAGACCTTTAACCTCAAGAACGTTCCAATTTTGCACTTCTTTAAGACTTCAATCGCCCAAGACGTGGCAGTCATTATTGAAATGGGTGTCACTATATAGTCCTTTCTTATTATAATATAATGATCACCAACCATAGTCAACTAATTTTTCTAATTTAAAATTTCAAAATAATTTTTTAAATTTTTAAAATTTTTTTTTTTTGGAAGGGAATAACAGATCGACGGGCTCTTCTCTCACCCAAGAATAATTCCACTCTTTGTGTACGACCCCTCTCTTTATCTCTAAACCAATGACCACAAGGACCATTTCAACCTTTGAAAAAGCTCCAACAATAGAAAATAAATTTCTAAATCGGATAATTTTTCCTTTACCACCCTTTTGCATGTCCCATTTTTCCAGCACTTACTTGCCCTTCCTCTCCTTAATCCATTTCTTTATGCCATTTTTTGTTAAGAATCAATAAAACTAACTACTATGGACACAGATAAAGAGAAATCCAATATCCCTGAAAAATCCCAGAGTTTTGTATCCAGAAACAATGAAAAAGATGAAAAAAATGAGGATTATGATCAGAACAGTCAAATCACCACCGCTGAAGCTCCGGAACTGCCAGATGGTGCTGAAGGCAAACAAGATGATGTTGCCGGTGAAGCCAAACAAGACGATGTTGTTACGGACCCTGAGACAGAGATCAAAGAGGGAGAACAACCAACTGATGTAGAGAACCAAGAGTCTTCTCCTTTGCCTCCTGATCTCAATAAATTATCTGAAGAAATTGACCAATATATCTCTAATTTGTCCAGTTTGCAACGGGATGATTCCAATTTCCCCAATGTGCCTATTTTCATTGAACATTTTGCCATTCTTGTTGAAGCAAAGATTGAAGACTATGATTCCAGTGATAGCCCTGTGAAATGGAGTAAGCTTTCTGAACAAGATTCGGCTTCGTTTCTGGATTCCCTCAATCGGGTTAGTAGGTTATCAAGTGCTCTTTCTGAATTCTCTTCAGATTATAAATATGCTTATACGATTAATCGAATTGGTGGGGTTCTCCAACGTGCAATATCCTACATCGAGGAAGAATTCAAATCACTTCTTGATGATCATAAATTGTCGAATTTGGAACATAATAACAATGATTCGAAGCCGAAGCAATCTACATCATCAAACCCTAATCAAGATGCACTGGAACCTGACCCTGTAGAGGAAACTAATTCTCCAGCATACTCGGAAGAAAACTTATCGAACTTGATTAGATTATCCAGGGCAATGATTTTAGGAGGGTATGAATCTGAATGCCGTTTGGTGTACTTTGTCGCAAGAAGAAATGCATTGGAGGAAAGTTTGCACAAGAACGGATTTGAAAAGCATAGCATTGATGATGTGCAGAAAATGCACTGGGAATCATTGGAGAGAGAGATCGTGGCCTGGCTTAAGATTTTCCGGCAATGCTCTGTAGTGCATTTTCCGAGTGAGCAGAAACTCTCCGATGCCATCTTCTCCGACTATCCATCGATATCAGAGTGCCTGATTAGCAGCCTATCAATAAACATGGTGACTCAGCTCCTGACTTTCGCCAAGGCTGTTGCAATGACAAAACGTGCAGCTGAAAAACTGTTCAAGTTTCTTGATATTTATGAGGTTCTGAGAGATGTTGTTCCGACAATGGAGAGTTTATTGTCACCGGAGATTGTGGACGAGCTTAAAGCAGAGACATCTTTGATTCGGAGCTGGTTTGCAGAGTCGATGATTTCCATTTTCGGTGAACTCGAAAACTCGATTAAGGCTGACTCAGGAAAGACGCCGGTTCCAGGCGGGGCAGTTCATCCATTGACTCGTTACACCATGAATTATCTTAAATATGCAAGCGAGTACAAGGATTCATTAGAGCAAGTTTTTAGAGAACATCAGAAGATCGATAGAGTTGAGTCCGCAACAGGATCTGATTTCGAATACAATCCAGAAGCCCAAGTTCAGAATTCTAACAATGATCAGACTGTAAAACAATCCCCATTCCAACTTCAGATGATGAAAGTGATGGATTTATTGGATGCAAATCTTGATGCTAAATCAAAACTTTACAGGGACATTTCATTGAGCTCCATTTTCATGATGAACAATGGACGCTACATATTGCAAAAGATCAAAGGATCAACCGAAATAAACAGCCTGATGGGCGACACGTGGTACCGGAAAAGATCATCGGACCTCAGGCAATATCACAAATGTTATCAGAGAGAAACATGGGGAAAATTATTGAGTTGTTTAAATCCTGAAGGATTGAGCGTTAATGGTAAGGTAGTGAAGCCAGTTCTCAAGGAGAAATTCAACAGTTTCAATAAAATGTTTGACGAAATTCACAGAACACAAACTTGTTGGGTTGTAAGTGATGAACAGCTTCAATCCGAGCTCAGGGTTTCTATATCGAACATGGTGATTCCGGCATACCGCTCATTTTTAGGGCGGTTCAGTTCAATTTTTACTCCAGGGAGACAAACGGAGAAGTACGTAAAGTACCAGCCAGAAGATATCGAAACGAACATAGACGAACTATTTGATGGAAATGCAGCTCCAGCGGGAAGAAGGAGAATATAAATATTTAACCACGACAATAATCATTTGCCCTGTAATGGAGAAAGTAAAAATGAAGAAGCCCTTTTGCTTCATGGGCAGGGATTTGATTTGGAAAATTACAAGAATCTGGGCTGATTTTTTATAGCTGTAGAAGCTACTGTGTGTTTTTCCCTTTGTTTTGCTTACAATTTTTTATTGCAACATATGAATCTAGTTTTGTAAGACCCAAGACACATGATGCTGTATGTTTTCTGGCTGGTCCATAACAATCAATTTCATTTTTCATGATTTTTTCCTTTATTTCTGTTAACGTTTCAAGTTTCGTTACCCCTTCTCCCGATTTCCTCATAATGAATCAGGGACGGATCCAAGATTGGATCCAAAACAGGGTCATAAAATTTCAAACCGAGCTACTACGTGGAAAAAAAAATTACACATAAAAAATTGATTTTTTACCAAAAAAAAATGAAAAAAACAAAAAAAAAAAAAAAAAAAAAAAAAAAAAAAAAAAAAAAAAAAAAAAAAAAAAAAATGGTGGGGGGGGGGGGGGGGGGGGGGGGGGGGGGGGTTAAAACCCAGGCAAATTTTAACTATATATTGATCGATCTTGTATTATTACTGCTGTTTGTTATACTCATCAGCTAAGAAAATTGACAACTACAATAAAATAATACTTTTGTTACTAAGTAAAATTATTATTTTAAAAGGATTATTTATTTATTTAGGTAGTGTATTATACATTTTTACAACTTGACTGTGTATTATTTTCGGTATTGCAATGTGCAAGTTGGTGAACATGAGTCATAAAGGCATCTATATAGATCATGGGAAACCATTTTTATACTACTGAAATGTAATTAAAATTGAGCATTTTTTGAATTATTCCATTGAGCATCTTTTGAATTATTCTAAGAAAAACGGTGCGGAAATAGAATATTGCACTGTTGAAGAAATTATCCGAGGGATATTAAAGATTATCTATGATGATGATTTAGGTGATAGTTGTTGTTAAGCCACAAATAAATACTAACATGCAAACTCTTGTGAACTTAATTGAGAATAATAGATTTGCGAGCAAAAGCAATCATTATTCTTGTAATATTTCACATTAATAGAAATCTTTATCAAGGCACACGTGAGTAAATGTTTAAAAGCATGATTTTAAAACCAATGACTGAAGAACACATAAGTTGGCAAATAAATAGCCAACGCTTGATAGATTTAGTTAAAGTTCTACCATTGAATGATCGCCAGTTGTCACTTATTGAAAAGACCTAATTGCTTCCAAAAATCCTTCGAAAAAATCTATAAATAGGTCCTGCCTAGAAGAAGAGAGACATACAAATTTGAATATATCCCTCCCAGATAAAATTTTCTCATCTTGCTCTTCACTAATACTAAGAATCAAATGTACAGTAGAAATTTAGAACAAAGATAACAATGATATCACCATTTGGGGTTGAAAGATCATCAAAATTGTGAAAAGATGGGCGAAACGAAGCAGATCTTACTAAAAAAATAAAACCATTAAAACTTGACAAGAAGTTCCGCAACAATGAGTCCGGTAACAACATCAATGCAAAAGGAAAAGATAAAAAATGCAAAATGAGAAAGGGAAAATTCAAAGGATGCAATAGGATTGTCGCCGTTAATTAGTCTCAAATAAGAACTAAGAGATCGACACCATGGAGAAAAGATAAGTTTGCAGGACAAAATATAACTTTAGAAACTCACGAAAAACCAGCTAATCCAAAAGCTATAGTCTCTTCAATTAAATTTGAAACTAGAAGTGAAATCTCAAGTCCTGATGATGAGGTAGTACACTACTAGAAAAGGAGGCTTTAGAGATAGATTTTTACCAACGAACTCAATTTGTTGCTATTAGTAACGAATTACCAACAACTTGTCAACGATATATTTTTAAAACAATTATAACTATAAAGTAAATGTTTTAGCAACGGAATTACCCACGACATATAGCTATCACTGAGATTTCGTTGTTGATCCGTTGCTAAATTTTTTAATAAAATATAAAATATAAAATTTTACCGAGAAAAAAAATTGTGACATCCTAACATTGATAGTAAAATTAAAATAAAATAAAATGAAATCTACCTACGAACTTGTCCGTCGAGAATCCGTTGGTAATATTATTGAAATTAATTATATTTAAATCTAAAATATTACCTATAATTTGTTATGTTACTAAATTTATTGGGATTTAAAAATAATTCAAATATTAAATCAAAGAAAAAAACAAAGCAAAATACACAATTTCTCTCCTCTCTCCCCCAATTCATCGTCTCTCTCTCTCTCTCTCCAGGCTGTAGCGATTTCAATCTTTAAACTCTTAATTGGATCTTTAACATTAGCGACTGAAGCCCGTATTTTGCCTTCTTCTCAATGGATATCATCCTTTAAAGATAAGAAATAGTTATTGGAGTACATTAATAAACAAACCTTCAAGGTAATCTGATTGATTAATTTTACAATTTATGAGATTAGTTCACTGCAAATGGGTCTAATTTTAATCGCATACAACCCATTCCTCTCTTGAATTCTTAATTTCAACTTAAGGATTTAATGATAAGAGTTTCTTGATTGAAAAGTGTAAATTAATTTTTTCTGAATAGTTGTTAAATCTGTAGCATTTAGTTAATAATGCAGTTAATATTGATCATTTCTTTTTAATGGCAATGGTGAACTGAAGTAGTTTTATTTTTAGTTTAACTGAAATTGCTTGCATGTTGTCAAATTATTTGATTAATTGCTTAAGTGATTATCTTCAAACTGATTTTGATAATATGAATTGGGAAGTAAAGTTTGTTTGTTCACATATTGTCTTGGTTGGTGGCGTGGAATTATTGTCTTGTTTTCAAAAGGATTTGTGTCTTACAATTAGTCTTTTGAACATTTTGAAAGTCAATATTCAAATTTTAGAATGGATGAGCTACTCTATCTAAGGAATAAATTGTTCCCAAAGTATCTTGTATGATAGCTTCAAATCACCTCATTTCATTTTGGTAAGCTCTTATTATATATTTTGTAAAAGCTCTTATTACTATTTTGTATTAATTTAATTTAATTTAATTTTTTAAGATGAGGTCTGGTCCACGTGTATAATTAGTATGCTCGAAGCATTTAGAGATTATAAGATTATGATCTGGTGTGGTCATTTGCTATCTCTTCGAGCTCTACCAAAGTAAAAATATGAAGATTTGATGCAATGACAGAATTTGAGGTTTCATATGCAAACAAAAGATATAAAATGTCATTTTGAAGAAATTACTAGTCTTGCTATGACTCTAGACGTACACATTATATATAATTTTTCATCTATTAAATTGCAAATATTTGTATTTACTTAAAAAGTACATAAGGTAAAAAAAAAAAAAAGAAAAAAAAAAGAAAAGAAAGAGAAGTGTTGTCATCAGGAAAAATTATGTTAAATTTGTTATATAATTTCTTATGTATAAAGTACTAATGTTGAGTTTCTTCAAGAGTATTATGCCTAATTTCATTCATTTTAGCAAATAAACTTCTTATTTACAGAGTACAATTTATACCCAATTGATTCTCTAATCATCCATTGTTCTAATGCAGGTCCCCACTCGTACATATGACATCGGATCATAGTTGGACGATGCTTCGGTCAGATGAAGGATTTCTTTCAGACAGATTTATTGAAGAGGTTGAAGAATTCATTAAATTTTCCATATCTCAAATAGGAGTTGGAGATATAATTAAATGCCCATGCTCTATATCTAACAATAGAAGGTTTCTAAAAGGGGATGATGTGAAATTTCATATTTATAAAAATGGATTTACAAGGGGCTATACGCAATGGAATGCACATGGAGAACCATTTATTTTCAGTGGCCCAGATTTAGCTGAATCTCAACTATACGAGCTACAACAAACTATACCCATGAAGCAATGATGATAGATGCGATGGGTCCAGAATTGTACAATGATTATATTACTCCAAATGTTTGTGGACACAAGGAACAAGCCCCAAATCAACATGCATCAAATTTCTTTAGACTATTACAAGAAGTTGACAAACCTGTTTGGCTTGATTGTAGTAACCATACCAACCTTTCTACAATGGCACAACTCATGAATCTAAAGTCTGAATTTAACATGTCCACATCATGCTATGATCGTGTTTTCTATCATTAAGGGAATTATGCTAGAAGGTGACCAGTTAGAAGATACATACTATAAAACAAAGAAAATGCTATCTAGTCTTGGTCTTAATGTTGTGAAGATCCATGCTTGTGATACATATTACATGTTGTACTATAGAGAAATTGAGAGCATGACTCATTGCAGTACATGTTTAGCCCACGATACAAAGAGAAGGTGTCTTGATATAGACATAGGGTACCTTAGAAGGTATTGAGATATTTACATCTAACTTCTAGGCTTCAACGATTGTATATGTCGAGGCACACTATAGAGCATATGTTATGGCATTTGAATAATTAATTGATAATGAAATGTCACACTCCATACATAGTGAGGCATGGAAGTAGTTTGATAGAACTTATCCTCAATTTTTCCTTGAACCACGTAGTGTACGTCTTAGTTTATGCATGGATGGGTTCAACCCTTATAGCATGTCTAATGTGCAGTACTCATGTTGGCCAGTAATCATTTTTGTTTATAATCTCCTTCCATGGATGTGCATGCAACAAGAAAACTTGTTTTTGAGTATAGTAATTCTGGGACCAAAGAGTCCAGTGAAAAATCTAGATGTTTATTTGCACCTCTCATTGATGAACTAAAAATGCTTTGGAATGAAGGTATTGAAACTTATGACATGCATACAAAGAAGAATTTTCTGTTGAGTATTGCATTGATATGGACTACTAGTGATTTTTTAGGATATGGCATGGTGTGTGGATGGAGTACGCACGGTTTAAAGTTTTGTTCATATTGCATGGGCCAGGCTTAAAAATGGAGGGAAAACATCTTTTTTTGATTGTCACCGCCAATTCTTGCCACCTTAGCATCTATTTAGAAAACAAATAGACAAGTTTTACATAGGTAGAGTTGAGAAGGACATATCACGATTAAGGCTAATCGGTGAAGAATTGTGAAGTATAGTGGAGAACCTCCCACACGTTGAAAGTGGTAGAGCTAATAAGAGACAAGAAATTGAAGGTTTTGGTCGTATTCATAATTGGGTAAAGAAGAGCATTTTTTGGGAGCTGCCTTATTAGGATACAAATCTCATAAGATACAATTTAGATGTAATGCACATTGAAAAGAATGTTTTCGACAATATATTCAACACAATTATGGACATACAAGGAAAAACCAAAGACAACTTCAAGGCTAGAAAGGATTTGGTGCTTTATAGCAACTGTTCGGAGCTTTTTGTATATGAAGATGAAAGAGGGAAATTGTTCATGCCAATGGCCTTTTACAGCTTAACTATTGAACAAAAAATGAGAAGTATGCAATTGGATTAGAAATCTAAGAATGCCCAATGGTTATGCATCGAACATTTCATGTTGTGTTAAGGGTGACTGTGAATTCTATGGAATGAAAAGCTATGATTGTCATATTTTTATGCAAAGATTGCTACCAATTGCATTTAAAGACTTGTTGTCGAAACCAATTTGGGAAGCTTTAACTGAACTGAGCCACTTCTTTAGGGATATATGCTCTACCGTGTTGAGGGTGAAAGATATGGAGCAATTGGAACAAAATATTGTTGTGATATTATGCAAGCTTGAAAAGATATTTCCATCGAGATATTTTGATTCAATGGAACATTTACCTATTCATCTAGCTTATGAAGAAAAGGTTGGAGGTCTTGTTCAGTATCGTTGGATGTATCATTTTGAAAGATATCATATTCTTTAAAATTTAAATTACCTTTTGACATGGGAATGATATTGAATATTGACTTCGTATATCACAGGTTCCTACACCACTTAAAAAAGAAGGTGAAAAATCGGGCTAATCTAGAGGCATATATGTTGAGGCATACCTAGTAGAAGAAATGTCAACTTTTTGCTCTTTGTATTTTGATCAACTTATTGAAACAAGGTTGAATCGTGTGTCGAGAAATGATGATGGAGATTTTGTCAATCCTAAATGACGACTATCAATTTTTACTCACCCTGGACGATCCTTTGGCGTTTAGCATCATAATGTCAGATTAATGACAACTTAGGAATTCAGAGCAGCTTCAATGTATGTTCTCTTGAGTTGAGAGGAAGTAACCCCTTTTGTGGCTTGAATTGTAGAGTTGTTCGCTGCATTATAGTTTTTCACTTCATGTAGGAAGCTTGATAAGCATAGGAGAACATTGTATCCCCAAATTTCTAATGCACAATTTAATGGTTTACGCGAGGAACATTTTTCACGTTGGTTGAGGGAATACGTAAGTGATTATGCAAATATTGTCTCCACTGCCTACAAAGTATTTGATAAAATGAGTTCTAATACACATTATTTATTCTGTTTAGGTTTTGGAAGATCATAATGCAGTTGATAATCACATTAAGGCTTTCTCGTACAATCAAATGTTATAACGAATACTTTGTCAATGGTTTTGAGTTTCACACTTAAGACTATGGTTCTAACAAAGCAACAATGAATAGTGGTGTTTGCGTACTGGGAAGTTGTCATAATGATAATAAGCGTGACTACTATGGTAGGTTAACTGAAATATTAGAACTAAATTATTTAGGGGATATTGTAAACAAGGTTATTTTATTCAAGTGTGATTGGTTTGACACCAATGGTGGGGTTAGAGTCCATTGAAGATTCAATCTCGTCGAGCTTAATCATAAGAAGAAACTACCGGTAAATGATGTATTTATACTTGCTCAACAAGTATATTACACGTGTTTTCCTACAAATGCTAGAGATAGAGTTGATTGATGGGTGGTTGTGAAAACAAAAGCAATAAATGTTCGCAATATACAAGGAATCATATTGGAGAATGAAGAGTGTAATGTGTGGGTGGAACTTGCATTCCAAGAGGATCAACCATTGTCTACCCAGTAACTTGTTTAAATATCAGAGTTCGATCGCCAAAATTTAGATTGTGACGATGTTGGGGCTGAAGAAGTAGTCTAGCTTGACTCTAGGATGTCCAATATGGAAGTAGAAGAAAATGTAGAACCAGAATACGTTGATAATAGTGATGGTTTCACAACAACTGTAAGTAAAGGAGAAAATTGTATTCTTATTATTCTTTTGGTTTTTAGTTCATTTGTTAGTTTTATGTCATTGTTCATATTTTTCATGGACTTAAGAGCCTCACCTTGCAGTAGGAAAGTGTTCGTTGTTGGGACGGGTTCAAACTGGACTGAAGGGAGGAGGAATTTAATACTCCGATCTTCCTGGGGATTCATCATTGGCTAGGGATTTTGCAGGATAACATCTAACCAGTATATGAGAAAGAGAATGGTGGCGAGAAGGGTGCTACATGAGGAGCTATGGTGTTTCAAGAAACTAAATTTTAGCAATTGAGTGATTTTGAGAAATGGTGATTCAAGAATCCAATTATGGCGATCTGCACTGCAGCCAAGCCCATGTCAAATACCAGCAGAAATCTCCTAACTAAACTTGCTAGTACCCATTCTCTACGTGTTTAAATTGGACCCCTTGTATCTGTTCGATAATAATGAATTTATGTGCTGAGTGCTACCTTGAATTCATGCTGGACACAATTTGTTTTGTTGGCACTCCTTGTATCTTGGTGCACAATCTTGTATTCTATTTGAGACCTCTACTGCCTTGGACGTTTTAATGTTATTTCTTTAGTTGGTTTGTTAATAATTTGATGTTGTGGCTTTCAAAGTCTAGCAAAGTTTACTATTACCATGGTACTTAGACACATTCTGTTGTGTAGATTAAGCAGAGGTAGTGAATTGTGATAAGAAGTTGTATCAGTTGGAGCTGGACTTACTGTGATTAAACATGTTTTCTTAATTGTCCAACTGAATAGAATAATTCAGGTTTCTTAAAATAGATTTTTTAGCATTTTTTTATTCGAACTTCTGTGGCCGAATTCTATGGATTGGTTCGCTGCCACTGATTTGATGTAGGAAGTTTTACTGGAAATGTTAAATTCGCCAACTTAGCCTATATGATATAATTTAGCAGAGCTTGGGTTACATCCACATTTTGCTGCTCATCCTTGTGTGTCTTTTTTATGTTGAACTCTCAAAGTTGAGTCATCTAAGCATTGCTTCTTCTTCGTCCTTCTTTGCTTAAAACATAGGTGACTGAATTGTGTTTGTATCCCATCTCTTCTCCAATAGTCCCACTCCTCCTTTTGACATCCTAGACATCTCATAAATATGGATATGTATTTTGGGAGTGCAAATTGACTTGGGGAGCTCTCGTGGGCGAGTTGCTAGCTGGTGGAAAAAATTAGCTTGCTTGGCCGAGCTCTTCTAGCTTTTTTCATCCAACTTTTCACCCAATATTGTACTTCTTCTCAAGTAGTGCCGGGCCATTGATTTCAACATATGCTTTCCATAACTTTTTGCCTCTTGTTCGACACTTTATTTACCAACATTTTCTAAGGGAAAAGTCACCATCTTGTTCAACTCTCAAGTTGTTGCACCGTTGCATATCATGGACAACTGAAAATTAGAGAGAAAATTTCAACTACCGTATGGATAAACCTCTGCCAAATTTTAAAAGTGATCAAAACTACAAAAAAATGCTAAATTTGGGTTGGGTTTAAATGTGATCAAAATCGCTCAACCCGAAGTTCAATTGGATTGGATTGGGCTAGGTTGGGTTGGAAAATTAAATTTGAAGTTGGGTTGAGTTGAATTGTGTCTTAGTTATGATTTAAAACCTAACCCAACCCGACTCGATGAATTAGAAAAATTAATATTTAAGATGAAAAAAGAAAAAACTCGAATCCAATTTTAATTGGGCCGAAGCCTAAACTGACCAATCTAATAACCCAAACCGAGCAAGTTTTACCAAAAATAGCAAAATTTCAATAATCGTACCAAAATAAACTACGTAATAAAAGAAGTAATTTGCCAAAAGTCTGGCTCAAATCGAGTTCATAATCATCAAGAAAAACGACAAATGAAATATTACCAGGAATGGAAATAATAACAAAAAATGGGAATTCAGAAGGGAAAACAGTGAATTTTGGCCTAAAAAATGATGTCGACCTAGCAAAGCTGAGCATGACATGTGCCCCGAAAAGTGTTTTCCGAATTGGGGTTATAATTGCGATTCTAATAATCTTAGTGAAAGTTATGGCTGAATTACCAAAACGTTTTCAAAACTGCTCCAATTAGGAAAAGATTACGATCAGTTGCCATCTTTACGCCGATCTGCCAACTGATGGTATCTTAGCGTAATCAACGTGCTATCTGACAACTTAGCATCGTTTGATTCGAACCCTTCTGCATCAATATGGGAGGGACACGATGTGATAACAGTCGGAGAACTCAATATCGTTTGATTCGAACCCTCTTTATTTTCTTCTAAAAATTATAAAAAAAAAAATGCCTCGAGACTTGAGGAATTCAGAATTGGAGCATCAAGCGATTTGTAGACATTACAGATTAGAAAAATCAAATAATACGACCACATCATGTATTTGTAAGATGATTAATCGTCATGCGATCAATACTGAATTACTAAATAACAATTTTTGCTATCGATTTTAATATTTTTATTGATAATAACTATTCCCTACAAAAATCAATTTTTTTCCATATTAATCCATTTGAAATTGATTTGTTATCTAATACCAACTAATTGTAAAAGGTTTAATATTTTAGATCTGAGATTTATTAATTTTTTCATATTATTATACTGAATTTATATTTTTATCTATACAAGAACATTTTCCTTCAAATTGACCAAAGCCAGCATCTCCCCCGAAATTCCTTCCAAAATCTCAACTTTTCCTTTCTAATTCCACCGCCAATTTCCAATCACTGCTTGCTCGTTTTTCCCCTCCCAATTCTTCCAGTAAAATTCATTCCCTTCTTGCTCATTCTTTTACCAAATATCACATACATTTCCTCATATACATACCCGCTCATTCTGTAGAGTAACAGCATTTTCTCACTGTTAATTCTCAAAACTCAAATTGAAATTCACTCGAATTTAAAGATGTCACATCGAGTAAGATGGAATTCCATGCCTAGGGTTCCTAGGTTGCAAGATGAGGAGGACAATGGCTGGACTGAGGCTGGTTTTGAGGATACCAATATATCTCTTTCTTCAGAAGACAATGATAGACCTGATGGTAGGAAAATGGGTCCTAACCACGGTACTAATGGTTGTCCAGATGAAACTGGAAGAATTCCTTTAATTATGGGAGACGACAGGTATGTATCCAAACCTTATTTTAGTTTGTGTTGAATGCAAAATGATTTCACTGGTTTTAAAACTTACTAAATAGGATGTATATTTTGCACTGTTTGTGTGGATAATGATTTATGCTTAACTATGATTTATTAAGTTGTAGAATTTTTGCAACTGATTAAGGTTAGGAGAGTTTAAAATTGGAAAGAAGAGAAATTAGTAATTTGAATAATTTTACTCACTCAAAACAGTTAAATAATACTCTAATAATTTCAAAGCACTTTGTGGGAGGATAAAATGCTGGTATTGCCATGACATTGCAATCAACTTGTGTGAATTATTTCCTCGCTTACTTTCTACTTCAGTTAAGTTTTCGAAGATATAGAGACAAAAAATGCCATTTGTGTGCTTTAAAAAAATCAGCAAGGTACATTTTGAAGAAGGTCAAATTGTTGTTTGCTTCAATTTCCCTACTATCTGCTTGAATCCCTCACTTATTTAAGTTCCATGCTATCTGCTTTAAGTTCCTTACCTCTGTTTTCATGCTTTCAGATTCATTACTATCTTGACATTGCTTGCTGTAAGTCCTAATTTGAAATCTTATTTGGGTGGACCTTATCCTACATTTAGTTAGTTGTCAGTTGACACAAAAAAATTCCTGTGGGAAAGAATTTAGGTTATATAAATTTCATTTAAATATACTTGTTGTCCTCATAAATTTATTGTTGCATACTAATGGTTTGTACGTACATTGGCCAAATAATAAGGAGAACAAAGTGGAGAAAGCATGGAATTCTGCCTCAATTGATCGACTGCGAGACATATTTTATTTGGCTCGAACTAAGGCTAAGGAAAGAAGTGGATCTGAAAATGTAGCTAATTGGAAGGATATGGACCACCATGGTTAAGTGTAGAGCATTGGAATGAGATAATTGATAAACTTCGGAACATTGAAGGATGGAAGAAGAAATCTAAACTTGGCCATGACAACTGACTCACCGTAAAGTCAGTAACCATTATTAAGCACACTGCTGGCTTAATAACAATTGCTGCCCACAAGCTGAGGCTAGTAATGTTTAATTTTGTGAATCAATTTCATAGATGATTGACATGTTGTGGGTTATCTTATTTTATCTGTTAGAAGAGCTTTTGTTCTGCCCATTTATACTAGAATTCCATTTGTTAGATGTGTGCATATGATCATTTCGAAATGAAACTCACATAGGGACTGAATATGAGAAAAATCAGCATGTTCTGTCTAGTTGAAACTAAAACCAGACCCAATGTCATGTTGTGTTCACTTACAGTTAATTATTTAGTAAGTTGCCACTAGGGAAATTTAAAAGTTCTATATCCTTTAATAATGGAATTTTATTTGCTTTATGTGAGGTATAAGTTCTTAGAGGAAGGTGTATTAGATATAATTTTTTGCTTGGAGTACATTATATTTTGCTGTGAGAACTAGTGCACAACATCTAAAATAAGATTATTACATTTTTGCTTAGGTATAAGTTATGCTAATTTTCTTCAGCATTTAACTTGGAATTTAGGGGATTCTATTGCTTGCTTTCTGATGATCGCATATTTTGTGCTATGCTAAAGTCGAGAACTTGCAATTTTAGTGAAGAATTGTTTACATTATTAAAGTGTATGATGTGTTAAACCATATATTTACTAGTATGCATGAGATGATGTTTCATTTTGTGAAGAGTATGTCGATTAATAATCTTCTTAAACTAAACATTGACTATATTGCTTGTCTTTAGTATGAGAAATTAGGCAAGCCACCTACTACTTCACAATTGTTCGAATGTGTACATCGACGAAAGAAGGGAGAAGGAGACTTTGTAGAGAATAAGTCACACATGGTCTATGTAGGTAAAATAAATTAATTTTTATTATATATTTTTTATATTTATTGATTGAGACTTGCATTTGTTTTATAGGAAAAATATGAAAATGCAATTCATGAAAAATATGGTTCAAATGTTTCGTCACAACCTGAAATTGGCATTGAAGCATGGTGTGAAGCAAGTCAAGGTCCTAGTAAGGATGGTCGCTTGTATGGGCTTGGTCTTCATCATCCCAAATTGCACAAACTTGGCATCTCTAGTCCATATGATGGACAGGCTGATATCATTAGTTTGCAAGAGAAGCTTCGTGATGCTTTGCGAGAAGATAGATCAACTTACAAGGGAAAATAGTGAATTACTACAAAAGATGGAAGATGGTAGGTGTGAAGAAGAAAAGAAGAGGATTGAGTTCGAACAAACCATACTTTGAATGTGGGGAGAAAGGAATGGGTCATGAGATTAGTCATTCAAGCACAATGATCTTCAATGGTTGGACATAGTAAATGTTTATTTTGTTTATAAAAAAATTACCATTGAAAGTGTTTGAAGATCATGTGTAAATATTTTTTGGATTTAATTTTGACAAGCTAGCATTGATTTTTGAAATGGAAGCGAAATTAATGTGATTTTGTGAAATTATTGAACGAGGAATTATTCAATGAAAATGTTTGCAATTTCATATCTGTTGATCTGTTATTGTATTTTAACTTTTTTAATAGGATTAATTCATGATAAAAATATATTAGATAAAATGTTTAGAGGCATTTCTTTTAAAATTATAATTCAAATTTTCAATGGATTTTATATTCTAAATTTGTATTAAAAATTTACCAAATATGTTGCGATGAAATTTACGTTACTATCAGAAACGAATAGTTTTTGAAGGAAAATTGTTTTACACTTAGCGACGCCAATAAAAACAAAAGATTATAGTTATTTAGGGACGAATTAGCAGTTTGTAAATTTTGTTGTTAAAATTGGTTAGAAAAATTTTGGCAATACCAATGGCATAGCGACAACCACATTCGTTGGTAATTAGTGATGGCAAAAAATTTGTTGCTAAACACCAACAACGTTTTTTGATGTTGGTAATTAGCGACAGCAAAAGTCCATTGCGGAACACCAACAAAAAGTTTACGTCGCTAAATTACCGACGACGCAAGATATCGTCGATAATTTAGTGGTAAGGGTTTCACTAACCCATTTAATAACGGATTGATTCCATTGTAAGTGTTGTTAGCTACGAAAATCAATCCGTTAGCGATGAAATTTTTTTGTCTCTGAAGCCACACATTTTTGTAGTGGTAGTCATACGAGCAATAATAGTTGGAGAAAAATTTAAACCATGTGCTATTAGAAAATGGGAGTCTAGTGAACGTTCTATATGGAAATGCTTTCTATTGAATACAAACATATAATTTGTAGATTCTTGTTTTGGAACCTCACTATTTCATCAGAAGTGGCTAAATCTTTTGCGGATAGACCACTCTATTAGTGAAGATAGGAGAGGCGCCCCAGGCATACCAAGGATATATAAATTTCTACATCCAAAATGAAAATCCATATATGATAATGATAGAGTCCTTGAACCGCCTGCACTGAGGAAAGAAAACATAATAGCTTTCTTTCGTCAGTTGTGCATTAAATTTTCCATGACTAAAAATGAAGCTTCCATGAAACATAATCGGGAAGTTGTGCGAAGGAACCATCAAAGTGACTCAAAAGATAGAGCCTTACAAACTCCCAAGGAAAATAAAATTGTTGTAGTGGAACTGGATAATCTAGGGAAGAAACTTGTCGATGAATCAAATTGACTCATGCATAACTTCATGTCCGAAGCAACAGAGGTCGAGGAATTAGAAAAAAATTTCATCCATCTAGAAGATACAAATAAAGCTCTGAGAATTGATAAAGATTTGGACGAACCTATGAAAAGCATATAAGAAAAGTTTTTAAAAGTAAACCTAGATGTGTTCGCGTGGAAACACGATGATATGATAAGGATAGATCCCAAAGTGGCTTGCCGTATCTTGAAAATCAATCCTAAGGTAAAGCCTAAAATGCAAAGAAGACAACTAATGAATGTTGAAAATTATGAGGTATTGAAAGCGAAGTGGATAAGTTGTTGGAACATGATTTTATGCGTGACACTCAATATACGATTTGGGTATGTAATCCAATATTAGCTCCAAAATGAAACGAAAAATAGCGAACTTACCAAAATTTTACAATCTTAAATAAGGTATAATCCAAAGACAGTTTTCTATTCCCCATAATTGATCAGCTGGTAGTGCAATTGTAGGACACGAACTGCTAAATTTCATATATGCATATTCGAAATATAATCAGATCACTATGTATGGACTAGACAAGGAACATGTTGCCTTTTTAAACAGATCGAGCATTATATTTTACAAGGTAATGCCATTCGAATTAAAAAATGTTGTTGCTACTTTCGAAGATTAGTAAACAAAATGTTCACTGATCAGATAGGTAAAATATTGGAAGAACACATTGATAATATCTTTTTCTAAAGCCTCCAAGTTGAGAGCCACTTAAAATATTTGGAATAAGCTTTTATTGTATTATAAAGTATAGAATGAAACTTAGTTCATTAAAATGTGCTTATGATATCATTTTTCGAAAAATTCCTGATTTCATGGTAAATCAGTGAGTTAC